GTAAGTGCTACATATACACACCGTCTATCAAATACATGATTGCCTCTGAACAAATTCAGCAGCTTATCCCAACAACTTCTCCCTTGTCCAAGTCCATAGTCGACTCCCCTTTGTCTTGGCAAGATAGGCAGGAGACGGTAAGCAGAAATGATAAATGGTGGAGGGAAGTTGAGTGTGGGTTTGGTTTGAGGTCTGCCTGCCCCAAATATGGCAGTACTACAATCTCTGAAGAGATTTTTTTTCTTTTGATAAAGTTTCCCTTAAGGTTCTAGTGGCTGTTTGCACTATGCTTCCAGTCCAAATGAGGTTTGCTGGGGTGCCAGCAATGACACACACCCTGCCAACACTTCTCTTGACTGTCCTAGCCTCCCAGACATGTCTAAACAACTGAGGCTGGGCCTGAGATTCAATCCCCGTCTAGGATTCCTGTCTGACCCAGGAAAAAAGGTGCAAATTAGTGTTTGGTGACAGTGCAGACAGGCCGTTTCAATGGGGCCTTTTATATGAAGGTTTGCAAGTTCAGCACTCAAAAGGTTGTTTTTTTTTCTTCAGTATTTGGCCTGCAGTTAGGGTGGTCAGCGTTAGGGGAGAAGTGTCTGGGTTCCCTGCTGTGTGAGTAATATGCTTATACAAGATACACCTTTGTAAAAACATCATTTCAACAGAAAAAATAACTAGGTGTTTCAGAAATGCGAACTTCAAAGGAGTTTCAAGCACATTATATACAACTGAAAGATGTAAAGAAATTGTAAGCATAGAAAAAACAGTTTTTATAAAAGTGTGGGATTTAGTCTTTATAAAGAAAGATGAAAGAAAATGGTGCATTTAGGTGAAGATGGCAAAGAAAGAATTTCATGAATTGTCAAGCATATGAAGGGACAATAAATGCTCAGTAATAATGAGCTTTCATCTGCTGCATCTGAGGACTTAGTGAAAGGGAAAATTTAAATTGTGACAAGAGAATTGAAGATAGTTAGGCCTGGGATCTGTTACCACAAGAAAGACTAGAAATAAAGCTTTGTCTGTGAATATTAAATAAATAAAAAGCAAAGCTATCAGAGATGGAGGAGAAGATTCAGTTCTACTTAACTCTGGGATAATTACCATTCACTAAACAATCACTCTGTATAAGGCTCTGTGCCATCCCAGCTAATCTTTACAACCACAGTGGGTGGTGGATATTACAAATTTCTTTATTAAAGCCAAGAAATCCCAGGCTGAGTGGTTATGTGGTTCATTTAACATAACAGTGTAGATGGTGGGCCTGCAAAACTATGCCCTTCTGGCTTCGGAGCCTATGTTTATTGCAATATTTTTGACCCTTGTAGATAATGTCTTCTCAAGATAGCCATTTTCATTCTTTTATTAATCGTTCTTCAGTTTAGAGTTCACATATCCCATTTTCTAAACAAAATAATCTTGGCCTAATAAGTGGATTAGAGTACCTGCTGGTTATATTAGCAGTCCCATGCATATCTGTGCAGCATGGACCTTTTCAATTTACAGTCAAATTAAGCTGGAGCAGAGATCAAAAGGGAGGAGAGGGACACAATATCTATTGTTCCCATCAAAATGTCATAATGGCACTGTGGTACAATATACATACGCGTTGTGAGAAACAGGTATGGAAAAGGTGCGTGACCTTATTGAAGCAGAAATCTAATTAGGCTGTAATTGAATCCATATTGACTTACAAGGGCTGAGCAAGTAGCATATTAAAAGGAATAAACATACACTGGTAGCAGAACAATTAGATGGCCTGAGCAATTGGAGACTGAAGCTGATTACACTTATAATTGAAGCTGATTACACTTACATTTGTTTATGCAGTTTTCAGACTTTTAATGGGTTCTGTTTCAGTACATAAATTTCAGATACCAACTTTTGGTTGTGGACTATCTTCTGTTGGCTACATGATCTTTGGAGTGATTTCTCAAAGTGGTGGTCAATCCACTTACATTTTACAACAGAAAAAATTATGGGTCAGTTAAAATACATTTGGGTCCTACTCCAAGGTCACTTAGTTGGAATATCTGAAGGTACAGTCAAGATAATGAATCAACACATTCTTCATAAGATCTAGGAACATTGCGAGGGAGAGGAGAGAGCAAATCCACAAAGGCCAGAGAACCCAGGAAAGATGTGAGTGAGACATGATGTGGATGAATGGAAAATCAGTCTGTAGACGTGAACTGAAGCCAGGCCATGGAGGGCCTTCATTATCAATTGGGTTGGCATGTATTCTAGAAGCAACAGGGCCAGAATCTTTAAGTGGAATACTGTCATGGTTTAAAGCCTGGGATCCAGAACCAGGCTGCCAGGATTCAAGTTTTATTTACTGGACAGTTTAGTTAACTTTGTTTGAATAAGACAAGGTTCTGAACATCTCTGTACCCTCATTTTTCATCCACAAAATTGGATAATAATAGTTCTCTCCTCATTGGGGTCTCATGAGATTAAACTAGCTTATACATGTAATGTGCTTGGAATTGGGTCTGAAATATTTTAAGTATTCTATATGTCAAGATAAAGATGTTTGAATAGGAGTGTGGCGTGGTTAACACAATTCTTTTTAAAAATTAATATGGCAGTAATATTCAGGATTCATTTATCTGACTTTCATGAAGAAATTCTGTAAATTTTTTTCTATAACTCAGTGGTTCTTAACCTTGATTATCCATTAGAATCTCCTCCTTCTCTTGGTCTGGGTAGAAATTCACCATGACAATTCCTATGTGCAGCCATGGTTGAAAAACAATGTGGTAAATACACATCACATTTGTTTAATTTTCGTTATTAATTCCTCATGATATGCAAGGCATATCCTGGGCCTTTTTTGCATTATTCCACTTAAATCTCACAACTATTATCCTCAATATTAGAAAGACTGAGGGTAGTCATCCAGCTAGAGAGTAGCCAGGCTGGGGCTAAACTAAGGCTGTGTGACTCCACGGGCTGCACTTAGAACCACTTTTCTGCATTGTGATCCCAGTACAAACATTCACCCCACCCTTTCACACTGGAGGGGGTCACTATACCCATCTTCTTTCAGGTCTTTCTTTCTGCATTAACATCTCCCTTTGGTCTAATCTGGACACAGCAGCCAGTGAGCATTTCCAGTTGAACATATAGTGATCTTGCTCACAAATTTCCACTGGTTTCCTAACACACGAAAAACTGAAATCCAAACTCCCTTTTTCCACTGCTGTTCCACCCCTGCATGTTCGAATTCCTCTTCACCTCCTCAGGTTCATTTCATCTTTTGCCAGTTTCAACCACAGTCACCTTATTCCAGTCACACTATCCTTTAGGCTCTTGGAATGCTTTAAGCTCTTCCTTCCCTGGAGCCTTTGAACATTTTTTTTTTTTCATTTCTTCCTGAAGTTTTCTTCCTCGGGCTCTTTGGATGGATGACTCTTTTTCATTTTTTTTCAGATTTGAATTTTAAGATTCTCTACTCTGTGCCTTCCTGAAAATGTCTATTTTCTAAAAGCTCATTTTTTAAATTTCCAAAATAATATTTATATAGTATATATGTATTTACTTATTTCTTTATCTACTCTGGTAGAATATGAGTTATATATGGGCAAAGAACATATCTTTGCTATGGATGCATGGGTTGTGCAGGCTGTATACATCTCAAGGGTGGCATAGCTAAAGATATGAATTTACATGGGCTTTCTGTCATATGGTAATGGAGTATGGAGCGTAGTTTTTTAAAATTCACATGAAGATGACACATAGTCTAGTAATGCACTGTATGTCTACTATATTTAATCACTATATACCCAGCTTTCAGCACAGTGCTCAGCATATAGGAGATGCTTGATGAACTCATTGATTGGATGCAGGGAAAAAAGAATTAATTAAATTAAGATATTACCAATGGGAAAGCAAGAAAAAGAGGAATAATAAAAAATGTTTATGGATCTGTTAATTTGAGAAGAGGCAGCAAAGGCAAAGTTAAAGGTGATTAAGTATAGAGGGAAAGCATGGCACCATTGCAAAAATTAAAAAAAAGAATCTAAAGTAGAAAAGACTGGTTTGAGAAGATGATGAGTCTCTTTGATACATAACTTGAGAATATAATTCCCCCTCTTTCATTTAGTTTATCATCGATTTTAATATGGTATTAAAATGACTTTAATTTTCTCTGCAGTCTTCAAAATGGTGACATTAGTCTTAAAAGGCATATTCTTTCTTTGAAGGCAGGGTATGGAAACAGTCTGTGTTTTATGATATGAATTTTTTTTAAAAATTGCCTCCCTTTGGAATAATAAAAAAATTGTTTTGTTTTGTTTTGATTTGTTTTTTGAGACAGGGTCTCCCTGTAGCCCCAGCTGACCTAGAACTCACTATGTAGACCAGGCTGCCCTCGAACTCACAGAGATCTGCCGACCTCTGCCTCTCAAGTGCTGGGATTAAAGACAAGTGTCACCATGCCCAGAGTTATGATATAAAAATTTAGGGAGAAAGCTACAAGGGGTTGAAGAAGCAGAAGGAGAATTACTTTCATGTTAGCCAACTGACCCAACCCTTCATTCCCTGCCCCACTCAGGAGTTTCTTCTAGGCCAACACGCTTAAAAAATCAGTGCTTTTATTTTTTTTTTCCTTTTGTGAATGAAAGTGTTTCCATAAGATAAGAGTACCATAGAAAATTCATTTTCATGGGGCTGGAGAGATCACTCAGAGGCTAAGAGAACTGGCTGTTCTTGCAGATGACCCAGGTTCGAATTCCAGCACCCACATGGCAGCTAACAACCGTCCATAACTCCAGTTCCAGGGGATATGACACCCTATTCTGTCCTTTGCGAGCACTGCACAAAACGAGAGCACTTACATGCAGGTACAACACTCATACACATAGAATAAAAAATAAATAAATACAAATTTTAAAAAGGAAATTCCTTTCCTTCAGAGACAGAACAGATATTTTATTCTCTCAAGTTCTGCTGCTCATGATGGCAGTACTCTGATTCTTGGGACATGGAACTCTTACCTCTGCATACTCGGCAGCAGGAATCTGGAACAGAGACTGGGAATGCACAGGTCAGTTTGGGGCAAGTCTTGAGACCACAGTACACATTCCCCTCCTGCCAAGGAAAAGCAATATTAATGTCAGAATGATCTGAGTTTCTTGTCTGGGTTTAGCTTAGTACTTGGGAAAATGCAAGGACTCAAATATGACACTGTCCTCTTAAAGTTTGTTTTAGGTACATTTTCAATTTCAATATGCATTATATTTTTCTACTTATATTTCCTCATGAGAGAGACGAATTCACAGAAGAGTTTGCAATCCTTGTTAGCCCTACTGGACCAAGGTAGTAGACAGTATTCTTGAAGGGCTGCAACTGGCCTCCAAACCACTGAGCATAGTCTTGCTATTCTCTGTTATCTTCTCTATATTACTTGGTTCCCATCATACCCCAGCCATAGTTGGCATTTGTAATATTCAGTAGTTTATTCTCTCAAAACCAAAGAGACAGGCTGTCTTTGATTGGCTAAAACATGTACAAAGTAATCTAATTCTATAACTCAATCCTATGTGATGCAACGGAGAGGGGCCACTTTATTTGTTCAATTTCCTAAAATTCTACAATTTTTCCATTTATTTATTTATTTATTGGTAGGATCTCCCTAGCTCCAGCACACGTGGAAATCACTATGTAGACCAGGTTGGCCTCAATCTCAGAGACCCACCTGCCTCTGCCTTCTGAGTGCTGGAATTAATGGTGTGAGCCACCACTCCAGGCTATTTTTTAATTTTTTAAATGTTTTATTTATTTTTATTTTATATGCATGAGTGTTTTAGCTGCATCTGTACATAAGTATCTCACATGCATGCAATGCCCATGGAGGCCAGAAGAGGATCCTGGATACCCTAGAACTGGGGTTACTGATGGTTGTTAGCCTCCATGTGGGTGCAGGGAACTGAACCTGGGTCCTCTGCAAGAGCAGAAGTACTTTTAACTGCTGAGTCATCTCTCCAGGCCCAAATTCTATGTTTTGAATGTTATTCCTTAAACCTTCTACTTAGTTCTTATATACAAAGCCAGATAGACCAGGAGAGAAACAAAGTCACAATAAAATTCTTCTAAATTACTGAGATGTATTTTACGAACAATTCCAAAGGGAAAAGATTTCATCCCTTCCCTTGGCATGTCACTGTTTAGTGCCCCAGAGAAGAAGTAAAGCTGTTTCTAAGTAACTGCTTGCCTCATTAAAAAATACATATATATATATATATATATATATAATTTTTTTTGAATTTTTGCAATTTTCATACAATATAGCTTGATGACATTTTGATCCACTCCCCTATCCACATATCCCCCCACTACCCTCCAACCAATTTAATGATGTCTTCTTCTGACCTCTGTGGGCATTGCATGACATAGGTACACTCACACATGCAGGCAATACACTCATACACATAAAATAAAAATAATAAATAAAATAGTCTAAAAAATAACCCACCAAGTCCAGTTAGTGTTGCCCATATATTCATGGATGTGGGGCCAACCACTGGAGTATGGTCAATCTACCAGAGGCTATACTTGTTAAAATAAAAAGTACTGGCTCTCCCTCCCCTCCCCTTTCATGCTCCATTTTGAATATCCATTTTATTCTATCTTATAGTTCTATCTAGAATATTCTTTGGACTACAATATGGTAAAGATATAGTTGCTGTGCTTTATTTATGAAATAGACAGTTCTTTTGACAAGTAATGTCATGGGAATCATCTGGATCAGGCATTTATATGATTTCATCATTGTAGGACATTAGGAATTAACTGACTGCTAGAAATAAGATGAGAAGAATAGGCCATGGTTTAGTGGTAAAGAAATTGTCTAGAAGAAAGATAGGAACCAACAGATACTCCATTTTCTTGTGAATTGGATCATGTGGCCCTAGAATGAGAGAGAATTTTCTAACTTTAGCATTGCCAAGATTACAATAATTATGAATGCTGAAGATGAAGACTTCAGTTGTATAACTATATATGAAAAGTATGTGCAGATCAAGTCAAAGAGCTCATCTTTCCCCATTTAAGTGCTCTTACAGCTTTAAGCCTGGAGTGCAACTGACTTTGAGCTCTGTGACAGAGTTGTTCAAAGTACTGAAGATTAGGGAATTTGAATTGGCAGGAAGGCTTATGATTTAAACACAAGTCATCTTACATTCAAACAGCTTATAGTGTACAGAAGAGGCTGCTTTCTTGTTTGGGGAGCAGTCAGTAGGGGCATTAAGATTCAAGGCCTTACCGAACAGCTACACTGGGTGCATTGGTTGGGTTGCCGGTTCTGAAAGAGCCCTTCAGCCATGAACAGTTCTCCATGTTGGTAAGTGGTCCCATTGTACTCACAAGACTTGCTAGTCACCTTATTGTTCACTGGTGGTAAGGAGTCTTCTGGAACAGGGTGGATAAAAAAATAAACCCACATTAACTATTGGCATTGTTGCAAAGAATTTAATAAATTACAACGGCAGATGGGGCTGTACTACACAGAGGGAATTAAAACATAATCCTTACTTTAGTGGTTAATGATCTTAAGCAGTGTTAAAACAGTCACAGAAGTGCAGCTGACATCCCCATCCATTTATCTTTTCATATCTTGAGCATTTATTGAGCACCTAGTATGTGCTAAGCACTATAATAAGCTTTAAAGAAACAAGGACAAAGGCCCGTGCCTTCATGGAACAAATAGTTACCTACATAGATCAAATATTGCCTTGCCTGAAAGGAGAGAATCTGTACTATCACTATGTAATTTTTTTCTACTTATTCCTGCAGAAGTATTATCTATTTTAACTACCGTACAAACTTTATCTCCTCTAATGTTTTTATCATGTCATATTTTTGCATTATTTGTTCTAATTTCTGTAGAACAAATTGCTTATTGTTAATACCTCTACCAAGATTACATCCTTCTCTTACTATTTTCTACCTGTTGAAGTCCTATCCCATAAAAGTTCAACTCTCACCTCCTTTCCCCCAGAAGCTATGGCGCAACAGTTCCAGCCACGGTCTGAACTTCTCAAGGCATCTGATGTCTAAAGTACACAATTTGGGACTTGAATATTATTGGAAGGCATATCTGTGAATTATGGTAACCTAGCAAACCATTTAAAAAGAGGCCACAATTATGTTATTAAAAGAGAGACTCAACAATCTATGAGTCAAGCACAGTAAATTCTTACCTTCATTATCTGAGGGAAAGAAATCACAAAGTTGACTTACCTGAAGTAACAAAACTAGTGAATGGTGAAACTGAGAAACAAAACGTAGTACCTTAAAAACAAAGTTTGCCTATTTATGTATCAGCTTATTTACATGTGCACATGCTACTTTTGATAACTGAGTTTCCTCTACATTTATCTGCTTCATCAAGTTTAGCATATAGTTGCTACACAGAAGAAAAGTTAATGCATTCAGTGAGCTGACATCAAATGAATGGTTTCTAGAATTCTCTTCCTGGATTTCCCTTAGCACATTCTGACATCTCCCTCTCTAACACACTGCACACAAAAATAATAATGATCGTGCTCCAAGGGTTAATTAATCATGAGTGTGTGAATTAGCAATATTGAAATGTGCTTGCCACAGGATAGTGGAAGAACTGAAATCAGAAGCATTATGGGCTTAGTAAACGATATAATGAATAGAAGCTCATTTTGTGTGGAGACCTTATGCCTCACTATGACTGTTAAAAGAACAAAATTAATCTCTAGATGTGATGAAAATGATAAAGATTAATAATAACAAATCCTGCCATCATGATAATAACGATAGTTAACATTTTCTGAGTGCTGTTTTTACGTATGTCACACCAATAACACTCTGATGTACACATGATCAAGGAATCTTACAAATGAAGAAATTATGGCTTAAAAAATTACAAATGAGGGTTTGGAGCATAGCTCAGTGATAGAGTGCTTGCCCAGCATGTGTAAAGGTTTGAATTTGACATGCAGCACCACAAAAATTAATTTACTTGTCCAAGGTCACATAACTTGTAATTGACAGCATCAGGATATTGATTGATATCTGATTGATTCTGAAATTCCTTCATATCGTCTATCAAAAAAATATCAATTGCGTCACGCCTGCAGGAAGGAAGGGATCATATAATTTAAAACCCAAACCCAAATCCATGAGATGCTATGAGAACTATGGTGTCCTAATAAAATGTTGTGCCCTAAAATACCTGGAAAATTGCACTTTTTATCAGTTTCAGTGATTTCACTAATAACTCAGTTGTATACTGAGTCATACAGTAAGCAGATCACTCCTTGGATGTTAGCTATTTACCCATGACCCTCATAACATGTAAAAAATGTTCCTTAATTTTGCCTTAAAAAGAAGACTTTATGAAAAACGTTAGTTCACACTAATTGGCCCTCTGTCTGAGTCCCTCCCACTGTCCACATGTGCATATATTCAGACAGCTGTTGCTGGCAGAAATGAGTGGAACTCATCAGGGAAAGGACAGGAACAGGGCCATTTGCTCCTGTGGGCTCTAATTATTCCAAATCTCAGCATTTTGTGGTAAAGGAAAAGTACAATGGCCTGCAAAATAATATTTGCCATGGCTCTTACAGGAGCTGGCAGATCTTTGGAACACAAAAAATGTTTGGAAATATTTACCCTTAAAAGAATGTGGATTGATTTTTAAACTGGGTCTTCCACTAAGACATCAATGGCAGGGCAACTGCAAGGTGAGGTTTTCCACTGAAAGCATGACCTTCAGAGTCTTCCCTGCAATAATCTTCTGAGTAACCCAGCACTGAAGTCTACTAATCTACTCAACAGAATAAGAAGAAAGAGCAAAAGATAGGCACATAAATAGGAATCAAGGAAAATCAAAGCAATTATGGTCAAGTCCACAACCACTCTTATGCAATAAGATTATCTTAGCATCTTTTCATGTATTTTGTTCTTCTAACATTGTTAATGGTGTATGGGAGAAAATTCAGAAAATGAAGTACTCTCATAGGCTTTGATCCATGTCACATAACTTCTTAGTAGAAGAGCTGACTCAATGCAGTTGTTCTGTTTTCAAAGTGTCTTCACAAATGGGTGCTAAAATTTTGAAATAGGATCTGTGAGTCATAGAGGTGGCCCCAGTATCAACTCCCCATAACTTCACACAAGCCTCTTTTTCTTGTTTTTGCTTAACTTTTCTATCTAAGAATTGGGTGCAAGTCTCAAATCTCCTCTTGAATCCTTATAGGGCCAACACAGCGTGATTCCCAACCACATAAGCAAAAAAAGCCACCTCAGTCTCTACCCTTTCCTTTCCCAGATTTTCTGAGATGGCTGGGCTTTGAACCAACTATCCTTGGAATATATTCAGTTTTCCTGGCTGAAAATTGGCAGAAAATAAATGTAAAGCCAAACTGACTCCAAGACCCCTCAGGAGAATACTACAACAAAAATGACCAGGCTGCATACCTTCTGGCCTCCCCTTATTCCTTATTTGCACTCAAATTCCTACAAAGCATTATGAAAAGTACAAGAGTATCGTGAAGAAAGGAAACCAGTACTAAGTGATATTGCTACAGATGTGATAGGAAAAGAAGCAGTTTCTTTTTTCTTAAGTGAGGGATGACCTTATATAAACAGAACTATGACCTCAGAGCTGCTTAGGAAGTGTTTTACTCCCTTACCCTAAATGGTCCTTACTACTTTTGCTTTCACTGGTGCCTAAAATACCATTATTAGAGATTCATATCATTGGCTACATTGTTGTTATTTTGCAATCAGATTTTGTAGTACCAACACACATCTGTTGTATTGTTTCCTCAGAAATGAAACATTCCCTCCAGGAGGGAGAGAGAGGCTTATGAGTCTCAGAGAAGGAAGACAACTGTCACATTTGGGAATGCTGAAACTTAGAAGATTCTGAAAGGCCCCTCCCCAGCTTTATATAAACAACAAATAACTGCTGTAGGAGGAGACTGACCAGCATTCCTGACTAGAGGAGATTCTCAGAGCCTATGAACTGCCTATAATGTGTGTAGAGTGTCTAACGATGCTCCTTTTGTGAGTTGTTACCCATGTTGTGGTGGGCTTTCCAGTGATACAGTTGCTTCTGAGTCATTTCTGCTCCTGGAAGTAACCCATACCTATTCTTCTGTTAGTAATCCTAATAAAAACTCATTGGTTCACCAAGCTGTGTTTTGGTCTAATTGCTACTTTGTTCTTTCATGGGTTCCCTTACTGGAGTGAGTGAGTAGACGTGTTGAGTCTCCCCAAGAAAAGTCACTTACACAATAGCACTACAAATATCATCTTACTAGAATAACTTTGTCATAGGCTGTTTTTATATTATTATTTTTAGCATGCATGGCAAATTTTACCAAAACCTCTTGGTCCTGCCCACTTCCTTTGGTACATCATTATTTTCCTGCCTTATACTCCCTTTCTCCCTACTGTCTGGAAGTCAAAGTTTTCATGGTGATTGTTGTCTTCCCTACTTTCTTCTCTCTCAGGTAACCATTCTCTTGGTGGAGAAATTCTTGGCTCACCAGAAAAAGCAGCCTGGAGGTCAGGAGACATGTGAGCTCACAGTGCCATATGAAATGAGTGTAAGTCTTCCCAGAGCTTTCAAGATTCAGCTGCTAATCCTGTGAACCAGGCCATCCTTTCGTTGGCATTGCTACTATAAATGTGATTTCTATTTTTCATGGCTGAGCCTGAAACTTCTAACTTCTCTCTGCTTCTTTGGCATTTCATTAATAGAGTACCAGAATATCTTCAGGCCACTGGGGTGAAGTCATGATCTAGGGGTCATATGGAGATGAAGTAAATACTTGAGAAAAGAAGTTATGTTATTTTGTAATTAACAGATGCACAGAAAGAGACATATTCAACAAAGTAAAACTGAATAATCCAAAGGATTATACTGTCAGAAATATAATGGAGGCGAATAACAAAGCAGCTAGAGCAAGGTGCTGGTGTAGGGTGCTCTTTGCTGCCTATTTTCGCCTGTGTATGTCATGTTTTGCAGGTTTGTGTGTTGTGGCACTGAAGGAGAAGATAATTAACCCTGATCTCTGTGTTCACAGACAAAGGTCTCTGGGGATCCAAATGTTATTATCTTAGTGCTTGTGTTCCCCTAAATTTGTAAGTTGAAACTGTAATCCTCAAAGAGATAACATAAGGAGGTGGGCTTTTGGGAAATGATTGTTTTAAGGTCTCTACTCTCATGGGATTAATATCCTTCTAAGAGATTTGATGATAATCTTGTTTTCCCCTTCTACCATGTGAAGGCACAGTGAGAAGACATACTCTATGAACTTAAAACAAAGATCTTCAACAGATACAAAATCACTAGCAGCTTGATCTTGTACTTCACATCCTCCAGAGTTGTAAGAAAGAAATTTTTCTTCTTTATAAGCTACCCATTTTTGTTATAGCATCCCCCCAAAACTAGACCTCAGCTTTGGTATGGTTTCATTTGTGAATTCGGGAAACTTCCTCATTTCTGTCTCTTTTTTTTTTTTCAAATTATCATGCTATCTACTGTGCATGGTTGTGAAGTGTAGATATAACTTATCTGAAAGAACTTAAAGGTAAGACTGGAGAGATGGCTCAGTGGATAATAGCACTTGCTGCTCTTGCAGAGGACCCAGGTTTAGTTTCCAGCATCTACAACTGCCTATAACTCCAGCTCCAAGAGGATCTGACACCCTCTTCTGGCCTCTGTAGGCAACACACTCATGAGCATATACCTACACACAGACACACAGACACACAGACAGACAGACAGACACACACACACACACACACAATTAAAAACACAGTAAATGTGGGGCTATAGACATGACTCAGTAGTTAAGAGCACAGGTTGTTCTTGCAAATAAATTTGGTATGGTTTCCAGTACCCACATGGTGGCTTACAATGCAGTAACTCCAATTCCAGGGGATCTATCACCCTCTTCTGGCCTTTGTGGGCATTGCGTGAATAGGTACACTTACATATATGCTGGCAAAATATTCACAGCATAAAAATAAATAAAAAATAAAGTAAATCTTAAAAAAAGAGCTC